CTCTTAACAACTGAGTTACTTACTCGGTGGTCTCAGAATATACGAGCAATGTTTCGAAGACATATATGATCGAATACTAGTAACTTACGAATTTCCTCTGCTCTTACCGACCATGTTTCACTGCCATAAAGTAGGACGGGACGAACTGCTGTGCAGTAAACCCATCTTTTTGTTGGTAGACGGGTATTTTGCCTACGCCATAAATGACACAAGCTGGCAAAAGCTAGTCAAGCCTTCTGTATCAGTGATGAGATTTCGTCACACACCAGACCATAAGGGCTGATGAGACTTCCAAGATAAGTGAAGCGGTCGACACACTCAACTACTTCACCCCCTATCACTAGTTCGGGTGTTGATGCAACCCAATCGCGAAGTAACATTCCGCATTTCGAGGGGAAGCGATATATTAGTTAGGTTAAAGATAATAGCTCCTTGAAATATTTTGAGTAAATACTAAATATTTGTTTGCGAAATATCTTTACAAGAATTAATTCACATGCTCGAAACTACTAACTTTTAAATTTGGAACTAAACAGGTATTTAATCCTTAATACCGATAGTACTATAAAAAAATAAATAAACTACTTACAATGAAACTGAACTGTTTTTTTATTTTATTTACACGTGCCTTCTAGTAATTCATTTATATAGCTCTTTTATAGGTTTATTTTAATAGCTTTCCGTTGCCTTGGTTACATACACTAGTTCCCATTAATGGTTATGTGCTATCATCATCATTGTAGATACACAGTTAACTTAAGAATACAACAAATTATTAAAAGTGAATCAGCGCTACATTTCTACGTATGAATATTCCCATTTTATTTTGATACATATTTTTTGATGCTCTATTTTAGAAAGTAAAAGAGTTACAAATGCGACATAGAATAGTGAATGATAAAGCTTTTACATAAAGTACAGTTTAATATCTTTATCTAAAGGATATGTTTTCTTCATCTAATGAATTGTGTTACAATGAAAGTTACATTCTGAAAGCTTTTTAAAGTTATTATTCTCGACTAATTTTTCTCTAAACTATATCTGTAGTAATAAATGATTTTGGCCACATACTGACCAAAATAGTGTTGTACTGTCACTTTCGTGAACATAATACCTTGCAAGTTTTAATCAACTATAATTTAACTGATCTGATGAAGGTGTGTTCTGCAAATTCATGCCATAATATCAGGTTAAAATTCTCCATCAAGCTAATTTCTCTTGGGGAACTTACACCAGCATGATTATATCAATGCTTTCTCACTTGGTGTCAGTATGTAAAAGAAATTAACCCAAAATTGCATTAATCTCCCTCAACGTACCTAACCTACAGGAACATTTCTTACTTAATAATAATAATAATAATAATAATAATAATAATAATAATAATAAATCGGAAATAATCAACCTAGTAAGAAAAACGTTGGATACTCAATTTGAATTACTGCTTGTTTGTCCTTATTAGAGTATAGTTTAAAAGTTAACTGTATGTTAATTTTTCTTAATTATCAAATCGATACTGAAATTATTCATTATGTTTTATGAATATTTGAAAGGAATATTACTGATAAACAGTGTTTGTATATACATTGGTAAATAATAAATAATGGCTTTTCTTTTGCCTATGAAATACTAGAGCATGATGATTAGTCACTCGATAAATAAATCTATATTGGTAGGAAACATATAATGTTAAATGACAAAAAATTTTAAAACATTAAATGGGAATATATCTAGTTAAAAATTTGAAAAAAGGGTACAAGAGAAGAAAATTTTACTATCTATACACAGAAGTTAGATTAGGTAACCTAGATTATAGTTGAATTCATGAGTCAATTGAAATTAGACCACCGTAGAAAACCTGAAAGCACTGGACGACCGTTTTGTCATAGTATGGGAGTCCTCATCAGTTCACATTCACGATCCCGCCTCTCGAGATTCGAACCTAGGACCTATCTGTCTCGCGTACGAACGCTTAACCTCTAGACCACTGAGACAGCATCCAGCGGTGTTAATGTCTAATTCCAACCAATCCGCCAAATTGAGCCACCGTCCAAATCTCGTGGGAAGTCTCATACTAGGACGAAACAGCCGTCCATTGCTTCCAGGTTTTCCATGGTGGCTTAGCTTCAATTGACTCATGAATCCAACTATAAAATTACTAAAATATCCATAAAACCCCTTCTGATAATAATCTAAATTAATCTAAGTGAAAATATGTATTCTCTAGTAAAGATGGTGTATTTATTATTAATATTAGTAATCTCTTCAATAATCTATAACATTTGCAGAAGTTAAAGAAAAGAAAATATGTCAAATGAACATTTAAAATTATTATCTCATTATATTTATAGGTTGTACTTGTCAGAGGTTGGTAGGATATAAGGTAGCATTTAAAACAGGAAGGTAATGAACAGCTGTTTTGTCATTGTAAGGGAATCCTCAGGAGTGACTCCATCAAGGATTTAAATATATTTATCGAATAGTGTTTAAGGAAATTGTCTATTTCGAAGTTATTCCGATTGTTTATAAAACTTTGATATGGAAATATAACAGGTTAGAAATATGTACAGTTTTGATTTAAACATAATGGTTTAACAATATAATGTTGTCACAAAATCTGAAGTTACTTCTTCATTCTCAGAATTATCGGTGTATCACTGTTGGGAGGTTTTTAACTAACGATGAAGAGATTGTTTTTAAACGACAGTTGGTTTTACAGTTCTTAATAACTTTAAATGTATCTATGAGGAAAAACAAAATTTACACTTTCCTAAGTAGATCATATTATTGACTTCGTTTAACTTGAATTCTACGTTATCGATTAAAGCTCAAGTAAAGTGTAATTTTTAATTAATTTGAGAGGGAACAAACCAGCTTCCATCTGAAGAAGAAATTAGGAAAAGACGTTAGAAGTGGATATGACATACATTGCGGAAAACATCAAACTGCATCACGAGGCAAGCCCTAACTTGGAATCCTGAAGGGAATCAGGAAAGAGGAAGGTCAAAGAACATACTGTGCCGGCAATAGGAAGAAGACATCAAAAGAGTGAATAGGAACTGGAAAGAACTATCACCACTAAATTAACTACTTCTATGGGTTCAGTGTTCATCTTGTTGTGTTAATAATGTATGGCAACCTGGACCGGTGAACATATGTACCTGGTCCTACATTGTAGCTGACTGACCGACTGATAGTAAGATCCGAAGATAGAGGGTAAAAACTGTTGAGGAGTCTCATACTAAAGCAAAGCAACTGTATAACGCTCCTTGATTTTCAGTTGTTCTCCAATTGAGATCAGTCTTTCATAGATACAATCTAAAAACTTACATAGTTTAACTTTATTTTTTGTCAATACTAAAACCTTTAAGTCTAAAAGTTAAATGAATATATCTTAACCATTAGACACAGGAAATATTTTCAACTTCATTTTATTTCACTGACGAAAATTTGCTGTAATTGGATATAAGATTTGAATGTAGATCGTTTACTGTTTATTTGTTCACTAATGAACTTGATTACTTTCTATTTTTGTAAGGATCTATCTGAAGAAACTATAAGAAAAGTTTATTGCGTTTGTTGCAGTTAACTACATACCCTTAGTGAATTTTAGACTGTTTTCTAGTTGTTTCACAAAAGAAAACTACTAATATTTAGATGTAAACAACACAATATAACGATAAAACGACTTCCACATATTTAAACATCCTACAAAAAGGATGCCATTTTTCGTTATGATGAATGTGAATACATGAAATCTAATTTCAAAATCATTAATTCACACAAGCAAAGCTTTGAAATTTCGCAATAATATTTGAGTTTTTTCATGATAAATGGATATGATTGCACAAGTCATTTGAAAAATGTATTCTACTTGTGCCAGCTAATACTTTAACTATCTTAGAGGTGTTGTAGACGAACTACATGGAAATATGGAATCGTAAAAAAGGAATATATTTAAATGGATGAGAAGGCAAAGAGTAGACATAGAAGATTGAATGTACATTTATAATAGGTAAACATGATATGACATTACTAAGTATCAACTATTGTTTGATGCTCATTTCTGTTAGATCAATAGTCAGTGAGACGGAAAATTACTCTGAATATCTTGAAAATAAAATGATGCGCTATTCATTTAGGCCGAATTTATTAAGTCATTAACTTTAGGTTTATTTTTCAGGTTCTTGTTAAAAATAGATAGCCTACTTACTGATCAAGTCACATGCACTCTTTGTCACATTCCACTGAAAACAGTGAGTCTACCAGTTAAATACATGTATTTTAGAGAGTGAACACTACAAAATGAGTTATCTACATAGTATAGTTCATTGTAGTTTCATATTAAACTGTCATTTGGGAAGTGATACATTTTCAAGTGTCCACGAACTACAATAATCAATATGACTCGGTTTCATCATCTTACATATACAACGCTATGAAAAATATGGCATTCTAAAACGAGTGATTCACCTTAAGGGATATTTGTGAACCTAAAATGTGATACATTATATTTACTGTTAATATTTTCGTCATATTGTATAACTTCTGCAGACATCACTAAATAACTTACATTTTGGATCATAAGATGGATTTATCACCAAATGACTTTTAGCTAATCGCTGACAAAACCGAAAATTTTGAAACTTCTCAGTAGTGGACATTTACTACTCGACAGAGAATCTAAATCAGAACTTTAATATTTCTCAGCAATCACGTTATGTTGAGCCACTGAGTCTAAACCCACTGGTTCTTCAATGTCAGTCTGCAATTTAGCATAACCTTTATCCCAAACCATAGGTGATACTTGAATTACTCAGGGAAGACCGTAACTCCACTAATTGCGGCTTATCATCAGGACTTTTTCATTGCATGGTCTATAACAAAAAGCTATCTTTTAATGAATAGTCTTTCAAATAATTTTATCTCGATACTTAATACTTTATTATAATCACTTTAATGGGCAATAACGTTACAGTTTATTAGAATAGTAGACTTACTCAAATCTGCTTCATCATTGTTATTTGTATGATCAGGACTGAGGGTCGTCACGTAGGAGCATAACGCTTCTGCATCTATATCAGCTTTAGTAACCAATATACCTTTACGTTCATCCACACTAAACAATGTTGAAGGTGAACCCAGTTTGTAGTTTAACGCTATAATTTGTCCAAATTCATTTGAAGACGAATGTGTTATTGATGAAGACATAGAGTTCGGTAGTACGATTGAATTTATTGTACCAATTTCTGTGCCGATTTTACAATTTTCATCAATACTAAACTCTGTTGAATACACCTGAAGCCTTGGTATTCGTCCATGTATACTTGATGATATAGTAATGAAATGTATAAAAATGTGAAGCAGAAAGAATTGTTTCATGTAATAGATAACATTTTTACTCTGAACAATTGCCTTCATGTCCCAGAATCAAATGCAGTTTTGTTCACTAATGGAATATTGATTGTTCGTGGAAGATTGTTTAAAACGGTTAATAAAGATAGTTGTGAAAGAGAAAAGAAAGGTAAAGCCTATTAGATTTTAATATTTCTTTTCAAAGAAATAAATATATAATTATGTGTATTGTAGATATATTCAAACGCCTTGCTTCTTGATTTTTGTTTCTTCAATGTATACTTGACTTTTTCAACTTCTATGGTATAACCCTAGTCAAATTTAATTTTAGGCAATGTATAGAAAGAACTCTGAATGATCTAGTGACTCATAAAGATAGATTAAGCATTCCTACCACCCTAAAATATATGACCTACAGTTCTGCACTGTCCCCCTTGTTTATAATAATCCGTTTCCACCTTGTTTGCGTACCTATTGACCAATCAGAATGCGAGAAATTAATATATAGATAATACAAGCTATTTTATGAATTGTCCCTCATTTTCACATTTAGTCATGAAGTTGTAAACTAACTTCTGTGAAATTATTCCATTTCTGTCTGGTAGGTTAGAAAAGAACAAAATTTACGAGGCCTTAGTTTTCAATGTAACATGTTGACTGAAGCTTTATGACACATAGTTCATACAATCAATTAAGCATAACCAAACAAATATTGGTTTGTTGTTTGGTCAGATAACACACACTCATATTGCAGTTAAATGCTATGATAACATTTTCTAGGTAAGTCTTTTTGTGTTTATTCAATGTAATTCTCAAAAGATAATTTGCTAATAAAATTGCAGATGTACAGTTTGAAGGTATTTTGTTACAATCTTAAGCATGAGTGACACCATAAGTAATTCGGCATAGTAGGAAGTACATTTTCGCCACTAATTTTATGTTTTTATTACTGGTGCACAGATAAAACATTTGCAATCTTTCAGAACGTTTTTAAGCTTCTGGGAATTATCCTCGATCTATGCAGTTAATATGCCTTTCAAGCTCTCATTACAAGTGTTTTCATAATAGTCAGGTATCAAGTATACAAAAGTCGTTAAATGTAACATTTTATGTATGTCGAAGTTAAATAACTGCAGTTTCTCTGGGCAGTTTGTTCCGTTGCCTTCGTTGGAGATTTTTACGCATACAATTTTGATAAATATACGAAACGAATTACTTATATACGAAGTTTTCGGAAATTCTTTGATTTTTTAGTTTACATTACAGGCTGAATTTATCCAAGAGTACTAAAAAATTGTTTCGTTTTAGTTCGGAACTTCTTACGGGGTTATCATTTATGACTATGTTAAGGATCAAATTTGGGATGTTTCGGCCTTGTCATGAGTTTAGTATATTTAGATCACTGAATTACGATCCATTAGTCTATATTTTAAACTTCAGTCAGTTAGCAATATTGTGCGACTATGTTCATTGAAAGTCATGTATACGCACTGTTAAGAAGTCTTTTACTAGGACTAGGCAGATGTTCAGTTCCATATAATTTTCAACTAGGGTCTGATTAGAATCAGCCTATTATGTAAAGTCTGAATAAAACTGACTGGTTATTCAAACAAAAATGAATTGTAAGCTAATGGTAGTTTTTGCAAATTGACATCACTGTCTCAATCAAAATTGATTTAGCTTTTGAAGAATTTCTGATTACTATAAATCTTTTTCTAATTCACTGTCATTTTTATCGTAAATATATGTAGTCCTAGTGTAACTACAGTTGGCTAAATCAAGACATTTTATCAGTCTGTGGAATCATTTGCCAATGAACTGGATCATTTTAAAAAGTTACGATTCATGCAATAATCATGATTCATGGTTGAAAGCCTTAGGATAAGTTTGGAAACTTCGTCCAGTGTACACTTATGTTATTTGGTACATCGTTTATGACTGTTTGTATTATTATAACTAATTTGTCTACAGTATTTCACAGATCTATAACAGATTTTCATTAGTAGAGCTCCTATAATTGAAAGCAAGATCAGTAGTTTAAAAATAAATTGTATTAAAAATGACAGAAATATTTTTTGGGTTATACTTGAATGAATTTCTGATCTAATGAGTTATTCATCTCATTGCTGAGATGAATATTCATTTTAAAAAAGTGATTAATTCTAATATTGGTTTTCGGACTAAATGAAGATGAAAAATGCTGTCTTAAAAATCTTGGTACATTGGTTAAATTGTAGTATAACTACCATCAAATTTGAATGTCCTGAATTCTTTACCATTTAGAGCCATAAAATTATCGAAGAATTTTATATCATAGTAAACTAACTATTTAATGATTAACTGTCTTTTAATAATCTACTAGTCGATGTGCCCCCAAATGCCCTGGTACGGCCGAGAGTGGGGAGAGTCCGCTCTCCCTCTCGAAATGCTCTCACATGGCCACGCGTATATAGCCTCTGCCAGGGAAGTCCTACTCACTGCCTTTTCGTGGCGGGAGGTTGTTTACGAAATTCAAAGGACGAAAGGCGAATGTTTGGCGCTTTAGCTGGGTTGTTAAATACGGAAGATTCACCTAGGGGAGTTGGAAAACCGTGATTCCAAACCACTGGTGCACATGGGCTCCAGTATCCGAAAGGAACAAATGGAGTATGAACCTTAGTGTTCGCCACCGGCTACCATGGGACTGAATCTCCTTACGTTGCTCCACTGCCTTGTGGATCAGACCTTCATGCTGAAGATTCCGGGTGTGGCCCCCTAAGAAAACCACCTGCTTCGGTCCGGGCACCCGGAGAGTATCACAGCCCTCACACATATCAAATAAGATTTGTGTGGCTCATGTGTATTTGGTGCCTCCTTTTACCAATATCTATGTGTTAAAATAAATAAACCGATCGATGTCAGTTAGCGCTAAAAAAACCTCTTCAAATAACAAGTTGATTAAATATATCATTGACTTTAAAAATGTAGTTGTATATATTTAATCACAATTCAAGGGTTGATTTACATTTTTCAAGTTTCAAATATCTGATTTTTAACAAATATATTTATGATAACATAGGAGTGATTGAAATACTTTGTCAGAAATTATGTAATTTTTTTCAAGATAGAAATATTATTATTAATTTCTGTAAAAAGAATTATTATTAAAAGTAAAGGTAACTAAGAAAATGGATTTTTTGAGATGAATCTATGATATAGTTTGTAAGATTGCTTAGACGTAATGTTTTAAAAATCTTTATTACATAACACAGCCCTAGGTCTCTGTAAACAATAAAACTTCTTTTACGGTATCATCAATATAAGTCATCAACCTTTAGAATATTTTACTAACTTTCCATAGTAATACACAGGTATAAACTTTCTGCGTTGATTACATCATACATGTAACAATGTCAAAAGAACTATTATTAATGCAATCTTCATTAAAGCTGAAACTTAACTCGAGCATACGTTGTTAAGACATAGATTTTTTCAATTATTAATGATGGAATGAGTAAAAATGCTGATTTCATAGAATACAGTTTGTAAATACTTATTTTAGACACGAGTACAACTCATGTATTTTACATAAATGATTATGTGGTGTTACCTAGCTTCAAATTTTATTTAATGTCAGGGAAGTGTATTGGTCAAACAGATTTGCATCGTATTTCCTGTCATAACATGAAATGAGTTTGTTTATAAAGTGGAGTTTTCCATACAGACCAATGGTTTCGTACTGATTATGTGTAATTTAATATCGGTTACTAATTTGTAATATTTCACCATTAGGCAAACGATAAACTTTTTGAAAAGTCTTCTTAGGACGAACATCGATCACGTTAACTGTAACCCAAGGCGAGAACGGTTAAAATGGTAGGGCTCGAAAGAAATTTGTAAGAGCATTCCCCATCGACATAAATAAATATATTTGTAATATCCCAATGAGTAGAAAAATTAAATTTTATGACGTTTCGTAACTCAGTGCGAGGCACTTCAGAAAATTAAAAATCCTCTGGGATATTAATTTATTTATAACAATCTACCCAATGCTCAATTTATTCGAAATTATCAAGCCAAACCTTGGTAATGACACTTAGTTACCCATTAATTTCTCACTGATGTTCGCTTTTTTTCCAAAGATTTATTGTCTCACTTAGTTCTGAATTTGAGCCATATATATCGGATGCTAGCATATGACGGTCCATGCTTTAGTTTTATATCAAGTGTTTTACGAAATCAAACTAACCTAGATTCCCTACTTGGTAGCAGTATATTTCTTTTAAGATTTGTCAAAGCAAATCATTTATGAATATTCCATGACTTTGGATCTTTTTATCACTGCGATTATCAAATAGAATTATGTCATTAAAAAAATACTATTAAAATTTCTTCAAAAACTTTCTTAGAGACTCAAAGCCTTAAGTTGTAATACTATTCTTTTTCTTATTAAAGGCTACTATTAGACTAATATCCTGGACAGCAGTTTAATTGTGGAATGTAATGAGGTTTATTATTCAGAAAGTAACTCTAGAAATTCTAAGTATTATAAAAAATGTTAGGATCTTTTAATTGTTAAAAAGTAAAAAGAAATTTCTATTGATCACATTTACATAGAATAAGAAAATGTGACCATGAGACCATGTCGTTTTATACCTAATTGTAATGATCCAATGGTATATTTCATCATGTTTAACTTACCGCTAGACATAATAAACACAAAAATATGTGTATACACTAATGAGTAATTTCCAGATGAACTCCCATAAATTTTAATACGAAACCTTAATATGTAGAATCACCCAACCCAATAGTAAGACTATAACTCATCGATAACATTAGAAAATGTTAGTTCTAAGTTATGTTGTTAACTGAAGTCGAGAATGAACTTCACTCAGCAGCTCGAACTTGGGTTCGATAGGGTCGTGAGTTTGGAGTTGTGAGGAGTCCTAAACTAAAGTTAAACAGCTGTTTAATAATAATTCTTGATTTAAAATACTTTCCAACCTATCTTATTTGGTAATAAAATTTACCTTATGAAGTCCAATATCGTTTATAATCTTTGAAGAGGAAATGGTATCTTACTTGATTGTTACAGTGGTTGAGACCGCATCA